CACAGCAAACAAGAAAAACTGGGAAGTTTTAGACACATCATTCTAAGGACCCAGCAGAGCCGAGATGTGGTCCAGGTATCCCTGCCTCCTCAGCAAGTCTGGGTCTGTCTCACAGTCTTCACTTCTAGGCATCCATCTGTTTCCGGATGGATTGATAAAAAGCATGCCCCCTGGAGAGCCAGGGAAAGTCACCTTATGCTAAGTTATGAAGCACAAGGACATTAAAAATGACAGCATGATAAAAAGCAGTAAATGGCATGGTTCCTGGTCTTCAGCATCAATTATTACTGTGAACATTGTTTTTGATTGACAGAATGAGAAATGATGGGGAAAAAAACAGAATTGCATGAGAAAGGAGGAGGGGTAAATGATAAACTAAAGGGTTGGTGGAAGGCAGATGGACAATTAGACAAATGCATAGAGGAACAGAGAGAAGGGCCAAGTCTGGCTGTGATGTAGCTATTTCCTCACAACTGAAAATTCTCTCGCAGAACCATGAGGGAAGCTCAGGAGACTCAGAAAGCTTACAGTAACCAAGGAGGTTATAAGATCCACAAGCCCCCCGCAAGGTTACACAGGCAGGGAAACCGTTGGGGAGGAGACTGTTCTGTAGCTGCTGTGGGATGTTCTGTATGCTAAATGTGTTGCCCTGATTGGTTAATAAATAAAACACTGATTGGCCAGTAGCCAGGCAGGCAGTATAGGCGGGACAAGGAGAGAGGAGATTTCTGGGAACAGGAAGGCTGAGTCAGGAGAGACCCTGCCATCCGCCGCCATGACAAGCTTCATGTAAAGTACCAGTAAGCCGCAAACCATGTGGCAACTTATAGATTAACAGAAATGGGTTAAATTAAGATATAAGAACTAGATAACAAGAAGCCTGCTGCAGCCATACAGTTTGTAAGCAATATAAGTCTCTGTGTTTACTCGATTGGGTCTAAGCGGCCTCAGGACTGGCAGGTGAGAGAGACTTGTCCTGACCATGGGCCAGGCAGGACTGGAGGAAAAGTCTAGCTACATGCAGCATTGCCTGCAAGTCACGCAGAGCGTCCCGGCGATGCAGCTTTTGCGAGTTGTTGTTGTGCTGGGGTGGGTTTTCAGTATGGCAGCTGAGTTACCCATGATCCTGTGGGCAACCCCAGTAAGCTCACTGGTTCCCTAAGCCAGTCTGGGATGGAACTGGCGTGTGTGTGTGTATGTGTGTGTGTGTGTGTGTGTGTGTGTGTGTGTGTGTGTGTGTGTGTGTGTGTGTGTGTGTTTCTCTGTAGCCAGTGCCCCATGTGAGCTGAATAGATGTGTTCACCTGGATCCAGGAAAAGTCCCACAACACAAACCAATTATTATTTACCCTTAAGTGATGTCCAGCAGCTTTCTGAGAAACCCTTCATATACCACACAATTTCTGCGTTTTGAGGGCATATCTTCATAGCTTGTGGGATATTCAGCAAGTGTGTCACCGTCACCATAGTCTAATTTAGAATATGGAATCACCCTCAAAAAGGAAACTGGTACCCTCGAGTCATCACCCTCCAAACTGTTAACCACTGGTCCAGTCCCCATCTGTACAGCTTTGCCAGCTCCAGGCCGTTCACACCAGGGGAACTACTCCATGGGGGTCCTCTGTGCGCCTTTCACCCACCACGTCTTCAGGTCTGTAGTTCCTCATGTTCTAAAACATGCCACATTGTGGGGCCGTTTCACATACTGCTTCCGTTCATTGGCTGACCGCTGTCTGGGTTGGTTCTGTTTGGCGGCCCTACGCAAGGGTGCCGTGAGCACGCATGCACCAGGTTTTGTATGGAACCACATATTTATTTTTCTTAGATTCATACCTGAGAATAGATGGCTGGGTTATGTAACTCTGTATTTAAATTTTTAAATCCCTGACAAACGCATTTTCTATTTTCATCTGCAGTAGATGAGTGCTCCATTTCCCCGGGGTCCTCCGCAAAACTTCTTCTTTACGACTTTTTGTTTGTTTTTATTACAATCTTCCTAGAGGTTGTGACGTGGCATCCCACTGAGGGTCTAGGTGGCCTCCTGATGACTCACCTGTTGGGTCTTTTCCCTGTGCTTAAGGGTCTTCTGCATATCTTCTTTGGACAAATGTCTGCTCAGAGCCTTTATCTACCTTTAATGGAGTTATGGCTTCCAGCTAGAACAACAGTTCTCAACCTGTGGGGTTGCAACCCCTTTAGTGAAGGGGTTGAACTACCCTTTTTACAGGGGTCATCTAAGACCATCGGAAAACACAGATATTTACATTAAGATTCATAACAGTAGCAAAATTACAGTATGAAGAACAAGAAAGATAATTTTATGGTTGGAGATCACCACAACAGCATTAGGAAGGTTCAGAACCACTGAGCGTGGAGGTTCTTATCTGACACATGGATTGCAAACACCCTCCTCATGTTCTAACTATATTTTTATTTCCTTGATGATGTCTTTGAAGCAAAAAAAAATTTTTTTTTTAATTTATTTCTTGTGTTTTGGAGACAGGGTCTCACTCAGTAGGTCAGACCGGCCTGGAACTCATAGCAATCCTCCTGCCTCAGCACCCCATGAGTTTTTAATGTTGAGAATGTCCAGTTGACCTGCTTTTCTCTTAGGCTGTCTGTGCTCTGATGCCATGGCTAAGACACCACCATCTAACGGTCAGTCATGGTGCCTATTTTTTCCTAGGAGTTTGATACATCTAGACCTTGCATTTAAGCTTTGATCCTTTTGAGTTACCATTGGTATGCAGTTTCAGGTCCAGGTCCAGTGCTTTTGCATGTGGACATCAGTAACAAATATTTTGGAAACAAAAAAGAACTGGAGGCAGAATAATATTCCCCTAATATTATCAGTATTGAGTGTATCCCTTGCTTTTCTCGCTGCTGTGGGAAAAACAATGTACAGAAGTTTGGGTTTGTTTGGGGGGCACAGTAGAAGCTGTAGTCCATTATGGCAGCATGAGCGGGAAGTGACATGTCACATGGTGTCTGCAGTCAGGAAGCAGTGACATGAGCCCTCTGCTCCCCCGCCTCCTTTTACTTGGTCTGTGCTTCCAGCCAGTATCTAGGGTGGGTCTTCCTTCTCAGTTAGTACTCTCTGGAAACATCCACACAAACACACCCAGAGTGTATTTCCCAGATGACCCTAAATTCTGTCAGCTGCCAATCAAGATGAGCCATTACGATAGCTGCGCCTAGGCTAACACATATTTAACTTACACAATCACCCATGAGCTAGGCATTTTCTTTTTTTTTTTTTCCAAACAATACAGATGCTTTGTTTAATAATTACAGGTCATCATGGGCCAAGTGGTGGATATCCAGGAACCGGCAGCAAGGTCAGCGTAACCTCTGAGCCTCTCTTTCTGACTCCAAGAGGGTGAGCACATCACCCTCCTGGATGGCGCCTTTGACATTTTGGATGATAGAGCGGCTGGTGTCATCCATAAATTCCACACACACCTGCGTGCACTGTCCCTGTGTACCTGCCCAGCACTTTGGTTACCCTAGCCAGTTTGATAGGTTGCACGTGACTCATGTCCATGATGGTGGCAATCTGGGGGAGGAGCTAGGTATTTTCTTAATTCACAGATGAGAATCTGAGTGTCTGAGAGGCTGCATAAGTGTTCCAGGTCTCACATCGGTAAACAACTCCATGCATCTGCCTCCTAAGCCCTTTACTACCCTCTCCCATTGGCAGTGTAAGGAAGATCCCGGAACCCAGCAGACACCTCAGGACACAGTAACTCTCCAGAGCGCACAAATACAGTGCTTACTGGAAACTCCTATTTACATTTGAAGTACGCTGCCACTTCTTGGACATTCCAAATGGCATGTTTGATTCAAGCAAATATTAGGGTTTCTACAGAAAGATTCCTGTTTCTAAGTAAGATCTCTGTTTCTGATAATGTTGTTTTGAACAATTCTTTAAGTAGGAGAGGAAAAAAAACCTGAAAATTGCCAGATAAATATATTTATTAACCTGGAAAGCTGGTGATAAAAGCAACTAAGATAATGAGATAGTAAGGAATTAAAGTGGGACCCCCAAAGAAGCAAGAGGTGCCCTTAGCCCTCCTTGCCCTGAGGATGTCTGTCTGCCCATCTGTCTGTCTGCCCATCTGTCCGGACTAGATTCTTATTCTGTGCTGCCACCTTTGGGGTAGAGTCGCAGGGTCTGGGGATTCCTGAAGTATTGAGACATGTGAGTAACAAAAGCCAAAGCCCAGGGGGCAAGATCATCACTCCAGGTGGACAGGAAGTAAACCAGGCTCCTCTCATCTGGAGGTGACAGGGAGGGAACTGATCCCTCCTTGAGGAGATGTAACCATAGCTAGTCCCATGTGTCCAGGAAATGCAAGCACAGGCTGCCTAGAGGACAGCGGTACCACCAGGCGAGGTCTCAGAAACACATTCACGGGGTCTCCAGATAATGGGCAGCATGCAGAAGAGATACAAAGAGAGAGACATTAAGACTCAGCACTGAGGAAGGAATCGGGGCAAATACGGACACACACAGACTTAAAATACTAAGAACGAAGTGGAAGAAAAGAAAACCACATGCATGACAAGCTTTTAGAAGGAAAGATAAATGAATCTGAACATACCTGGAAATGTCCATAAAGAGAAATGAACCCAGAAAAGCACACGTTCAGGCAGTTGACTGAGCAAAGCTGCCTGCAGCTACAAAGGACCAGTCCTTGGACTTGCATGCCCCCTCAGTCTCCAGAGTCAAAGGTCAGGAAACAGCGTGAAAATCTACTATTTTTCCAAAATCCAGAAACTGGTCTAAGGCAAGCTACCAACATCAATAAGCAAACCTGGAATATTTTTGTCCAGATGAGTTACCCAAACCACTAAACTGCACACACTGTGAAGACCCGGCAGGTGACCCCATAAAGCCCCTCCATCTTCCCAGTCCTTGTTACCCGGCAGCCATCGTGCAGGACCCCAATCTCCCCCCCTCCTACTGGTCCCCCTGCCTCTGGTATAGATTCCCTTGCTATCCAGATAGATACTTGCTCCAACACGAGAAACCCCAGTGAACTAACGACGTGGTCCAGGTCCTCAGCATGGCACTGGGCCCTTCATTAACTGGTGCTCTTACTCCTGGGGCCCTTCAGCACATCTCGCTTTTCACCTGCCTCATCTCACATTGTCTCCCATCCAACCCCAGAAGCTGCCAGCTCCTGAATGAGCAATTATGTCTCCCTGCGTTTGTGGCTGTGCCCCAATCCTGGTTCTGGTCCTCACCCACCCTTTAAAAGTCTACCTCTGATGCCACTTCCTCTCTGATGACTCTTATCCAGAGGATAAGGGGGAACGGTAAAGCGGGGTAGGTAGATGTTCTGTTTCCTGTGACAATCAGCTTATGGCATCTACCCCGGCCACTCACCTTTTTGTCCCCAGAGTGCTATGTCCCCAACACTGCAGCACATTTTTGTCAGTTGGATCGTGATCACTATGACCTCTAGCCCTAGGAAACAGACAGCAAGAGCTTTAGGGACCCCTCCACTTCCATCACTTTTCTCTATTCAGGGTCTTAGCCTCACGCCAGACTCCCCTGGCCACTGGCCCCTCTCTCCTGTCTCAGGTAAGCTGGCAGGCTCCCCACATTTCTCATTTTCTCACTGTGCACTTTTATCTCTTTTAGTGACGCTCTCACTGATAACAGCATCTTGTGCAGCGATGCAGGAGGCGTGACCCAGGGCTCCCGCAATCTTGTTGGGCGCAGCCACGGAGGTGAGAGGAGTAATCAAGACACCGGCTTCAAACACGAGAAAACTGAGTTATAGGGTAACGTGAACACACACGGAATTTTAAAACAGGACCGTGAATATTTCTGTTAAGTTTAAATTTACTGGTTTCTTCTTGCTGAATAAAAAAAAAAAAACAAGCTGAGAAAAAGCAGGGCTCTGAAGACAGGTCTCTGTGACCAGAAGATGTCCAGGCTCAGTTTTGTTATAGAGGAGCAGGGCAGAGAGAGAGAGAGAGAGAGAGAGAGAGAGAGAGAGAGAGAGAGAGAGAGAGAGAGAGAGAGAGAATATGTTCCAGAAAGGCCTGAATCTATAATCCAGGAAGAAGACAGACATAAGGTGGGCTCTATGTAAATGACCCATGAAGGGTCACGACTCCTAGCCCAGGGCTCCAGGGTTTCTACCTTTGCCCTGTCTCTTGGGCCCACCTCTCCCCTCAGAAACATTTTCTTAAGGAACCAAGTAGGTGCTCCAAATTCAGACCCCAGATTGTGACAGTCTGGCTGCAGCATCACTAAGGTCTGACAACCTTCAGAATGCAAAGCCCCCCCCCTGCCCCCACCCTCACCCACACTCCCCCACATGGCTGTAGGTGACTCCCACCTGAGACCTTACCAAACAAAGAACAGTGGCCCACCTGCCCAAAATACACACACCAAGCAGGAGTGAGACCAGGCTAGCACAGAAAAACTGCATCTCTTGGTCTCTCACTGGGTGTCCTGGCCCTAGAGCAGCCCAGACACATCTCTAAGTCCTCTGGCTTGTCCCTCAGTACTGCCTCTAAAGGGCACAGGTGACAGGCTTCCCCAAGGACAAGCCCCTAATGTTATGATATATTACTTGGGGACCCCGGAGGTATCCCGCACGTGCTGGGAAACTTGCTGGCATGCTGGGCAGATACAGCTACAGGCTGGTGCATGGCCCACTCCATACAGGCATTGTGGTGGGGTGGTAGGTGGACATCCACAGCCCAGATGCTACATCTGTGCGGAAATAGTTTATTATGATAGAGAGACAAAGAGAAGATAGGAATGAAGAGAGAAAGAGAGGGAAAGAGAGAATGGTGGAGGGGTGCACACCTCGTGGGAGTGGAGGGAGAGAGAGAGAAAGGGGCGGAGTTTTTCCTTAAGAAAAGGCTTCTAGGTCAGGATGAAGGAAGGCAGCAAGGAGCGGGGCGGGTCAGAAGAATATTAACACCTAGTCCCCCAGATTTCACACAGCAAAAGGACATGGCCCTAGGACATAAAAGATAGGATTTAAGATAAAGGATTATATTTTTGCTTTTATTTTACTGACAGCAGGTGAGGGTTTTCTTTCCCCCCTTCTTCTGTTATTCAGGGTCACATGAACATATAATCAGAAAAAAAATGAAAAAACATTTTTTAAATTGTGAGTTGTGCTGCCTGGAGACATACTCAATGTCTAAAATTAGCAACTGCCTCCACCTCTGTGCTGGAGAGGGCAGCAGCTGGGCCATTACTGTGGTCAGAGGGCAAAGGGAGCCCAAGGCACAGTGGCTGCTGCAGCAGTTAAGCTCCTGAGGCTCTGAGGCTCCTGATGGCTGGACGCTGCTCCCATGCATGGCAGTGGCTCCGCCTCCCCCTCCGCCTGCCAGCCTGGCACAGGGTGACTTGTTCTTTCCCATCATTGCGATCTGCTGTCCCCTGTACAATCAACATCCCAGATTAGAGGGAGATGTGGAAGACACTGGTGAGTAAGGAGGCAGAGGCTCACCGCCTTCAGGTTTCCTTGGTGTGGCTTGTTGCTTGGGATTATCCAGGGCTTCTCCTGCACACAAGCCACAGGCGCTCCAGCCCACCAGGCATCCCTCGGAGATGCCAGCTCCGCCTCCCAGATGGGCTGAGGGACCCGCCCACCCTCCTCACCTACTGCCATTCTCACATTTACAGTATTTGTTTTTTTCACTTTTCTAAGAGAAAGCCTCACTGTATAGCCCAGGCTGCCCTTGAATCTCCTATGTAGCCCAGGCTGGCTTCAGACTCAGGGTAATATTCATGCTTTTTCTCCAAGGGTGTTGGGATGACTGTGGCCCCCGTACCTGGCTAGCGTGGGTTTGTCTTGGTTTGGTTTGGGTTTCACTTGTTTAGTATTAGGAATGAAATAAATTCTGGCCTTGCACATGCTCAGAAGGTGCTCCCCACTGAGCCATTTTCCAAGACAGCTGCTTCTCTTTAGCCTAACATGGATCACCACAACCGATAAGATCTCCCCAGGATCTTTGTCAGTTTTCCTTGACCAATAAATCTAAACCAAGACGAACCACAGAAACGTTCAAGAGGTGGCACTAGACCAGCCAGCTGTCCCTTGGTGCAGAGGCTGGTGAGCTGAGCAGTTGTTTGCTCAAGCCATTAAACTCTGGGGTGACTTGTTACACAGCAGTAGCTGACTGATAAATGCTACCCCCAAATGCTGCCCAATCTAGATCAATACTTCTTTTCTTTGAGGCTAGGATAAAGACAGTGAAGTAGGCACAAAGCCCAGCTCAGTCTCTGCCATCCACTTTCAAACTAGGTTATATACACCACAGAAGATTTGAAAGGCTCCCCACACAGAATAAGGAGTATGGATAATGCTGAAGACTTGGTTTCCATATCTTCAACTAAGACACACAACACACACACATGTATGTACATACATGCACACAAACACACACCTTTTCCTAAAAAGTAATCTTGCTACCAGTTTTTTTTTGGTCTCAATTTGCAGAGGAAAATCAAGCCCTTCCGCCACCTTATCTTATAGCAAGGTATTGACCCCTCTGGAGAACTGGAACAATACCCTGAGACACCGAACAGCACCTGAATATGAATGACTGGACAGGAAGGTGAGGAGGGTAAGAAGTGGTCAGTGAGAACGAAAGGGTTCTAAATCTTTAGGTTTAATTATCAGCAAAGACACAAAATCACCTCATTTTTACTTGATCAGTGATATCTATACTAGGAGTTCTGTTTGCAGACACTTTACAACATTCCCATCTTTCACAGAATTCCTGGTTGGTAGGAATGGGGTTCACACAAGCTTGCAGAAGAGTATTTCCATGCATCCTGGTTGAACATCTTTCCCAGCCACTATAGAATTTCCCCCATGCTAGTGAACCTCCAGGTACACCGCTGCCCCAGCTCTCACTTCTCAGCGTATGTGCCTGGTGACATGGCCTGACACACTCCTGTGGAAACCTAGGTATCTGGGTGATGAAGCAGCACAGAGAGAAGAAGCCAACACTTCTCAGTCTTAAATTCAGATGCTTTGATGGTTAATTCTAGCTGTGCCGAGTGTCTTGCTGAGGAGCTGTCTGGAGCAGGGTGGCCTACGGGCGTGCTTGTGTGGGTTGTCTTGATTATTAACTGAGGTGCAAAGGCACACTCAGGGGGTCCTGGACTATATCAGACAGGAGAAGGCTAGGTGAAAGCAAGCAACAGGGATCCATTTGTCTCTCTCTGCTCTTGATGGTAGATGTGATCTGACTACCTGCTTGAGTTCCTACCTTGATTTCTCCTCACTGGTGAACTGTAATCTGGAACTGTGAGCCGAAACAAATCATTTCTTCCCATAAGTTGCTTTTGTTGAGTGTTTTGTCACAGCAACAGAAAGGAATCTAGGGCAGATGCCAAGAGTGGCCACCATGGACCCATGTCTAACCGTAGGTAAACACTCCAACGTCCCTGGGCAGGAGACACCGGCTCATCAACCCTCAATAGTCTACGAGATCTAAGGAGGCAGAAGCAGAGAGAGGCATGAAAAAGCCACTTGAAGGTGAGGTCCAGTGAAATTAGACTGAAGTAAATCCTCACAAACACAGCCCAGGAGGCACTGACATCTGCCCTCCATCTTCACTCACACACAATAAGTTTTTATTCCTAAGAACATGAGGAGATGTGAAGGGCTGAGTTTCACTTCACCACAGACCTCTTGGATCTCCAGTGCCACACTCCAGCTCACCTTTAAATAAAATCCCTGTCTAGAAGCATTTGCATCAGGAGAAGAATAAACTGTCTAGACAACCTGGTAGTCAGGGACAAAATACATTCTCTCCTCTTTTAGCTAGAAATAGCAAGAAAATTTGGGGAGTGTTGGGGTTCTGACTTGCATAACAGCATCACTCTCTCATCCTTCACTGGAATCCAGAAGGAAAGGAACCAGGTTCTCTGGGGCAAGGGGCTTCTCATGGAGTTAAATGTTTAGGCACGGTTTGCCAAAATACATGGGGTGGTGGGGTGATAAGGAAGAAGAAAGATAAACTTGTGTGTGTGTACGTGTGTTTGTGTGTATACCTGTGTGCACAAGTGTGTGTGTGGTGCACATGTGTACATGGCACACACATGTAGCTGTGCAAGGAGTCAGATAGGAGAGTGTTGGGGTGGTCTGCATGCAGGCATGTGTGTATTGTGGTGAAGTGTGTGTGTGTGTGTGTGTGTGTGTGTGTGTGTGTGTGTGTGTGTGTGTGAAGTGCAGACATATGTGCATGCACACCTGCATGCGTGTGCCAAGGAGTGAGGGTAATGTTGGTGGGCTCTGGGTGCAGGTCCATTCACGTGTGAATTGTGTGACTAGCAGTGCAGCTGCCCTAGTCACCCGTGCTCATATAAGTAACCCCAATAAACTCATCCATTCACCACGAGAGGTCTTGGAGTCTGAGTACTTTATCTGGTATGGACAGGTGTCACACCTCCTCAGGAAAAGTCACACGTTATGTGTCATT